AGAGAGAGTGGAAGAGAGAGAAGGGGGGGGGAGGGAGGGAGAAACATTGTTTGGTTGCCTCCTGCATGGGCCCCAGCCAGGGCCGGGGACCAACCCTGCAACTGAGGTACGTGCCCTTGGCTGGAATCGAACCTGGGATCCTTTAGTCCACGGGCTCATTCTCTAACCACTGACCCAAACCCGCCAGGGCCAAAATCCACAGTCTGCTATGTTAGGATTTCCTTTGCTGATATTAAGGTAGGATAGAGAAAAAGGAATGTAAAAAAAGGAAAAGAAAGGTACTGAGGACTTCCTTAGAGTGGGCCAAAGCAAGTAAGTATAACTGTTGTGAAAAATGGAGGCAAGGGAAAATGAAGTCTGTAGATCTACCGGAAAAGACTTTGCTCTAAGAGTTATACACTGTTGTTGTAGTTACTGGTATAAATATTTTTATACTGGCCATCTTCCTTTCAGTAACATTGGAAAAACAACAGTGTATCTATATAACTTTTTAGTTCCTGAACATGGACAAAATGGTAGACTTTTTTGTGTGTGAAGTTCTAACTTTTAATTAATAAAATAATGTTAAAAATGGTTACATTTCAACCTCAGCTGTTCTTGCAGATAACATGACCTTCTCCCAACATTTGTTTGCTGCATGGGAGATAAATCTGTTTTACAGTTTTACTCATAATTACATTTATTTCCTTTTTTCTCTCTAGCTTCTTCACAAAATAATTGATGGCATTTGCGGCCGAACTTATCCTCTCCACCAGGATTATCAGAATGTTTGGGATTCCACAGAATGGATGCATGTTCTAGAAGATATTACCAAGTTTTTCAAAGCTATTGTTGGTAAAAATTTATCTGATGAAGAGGTAACTTTAGTCTAAATTTCTATGTTACAATAAATAATAATTGCTGCTCAGATTTTTTTTATTAACTTGGTCTTTAGGACATTATATAATACAAGGGCCATCATTAGTAAGTAGCTAATAAGAAAAGCCTCATTATTGTAAGTAGAAAATCTGATTGTAGAAGTTCTGGGTTTTTGTAGTTTTGTTTTGTTTTTGGTGGTTTGTATTTTTTAACTTGTGAAACATTTAAATCATATAGAAGAAAACCTAAAGTTAAATAGCTGACACCCCATTACCACAGTTACACAGTTGTTTACATTTCTGATGTATTAATCTAGCTAGACCAGCTTTTTTTAGTAGTCTCTGGATGTATTCACTTTCATGCCCTTCATCATTCAGCCCTTTTCCTTTACTTCTTGTTTTGCAAGAATTTGTTAAAACTTCCAGTTTGCTGGTTATGCATTCTCATCTTATTCTTTTCATGGTGACAGAAGTATTTCTTTTTTTTTTCTCATTTACCACCATTTAAAAGGTATGTGAAAGGAGAGTACAACTATGTGTTTACATTTTAAACAGAAAGGACCTTTCACTTATAACCATTTATTTTTATTTTCCTAGATATCTCAGCAGTTGAATCAGTTGAATTCATCTCATCAAGAAGCTATCATGAAATGCTTGAAAAGTAGAAAAGATGAAATTAAGCAGGCTCTGTTAAATGAAGTAGTTGATATTTCCTCTGCACAGCTTCAGGATTTTGATTGGCAGTTAAAGGTGAAAAATCTGTTTATGAGTATGTTTTTTATTTCAGTTTTTGAATAGGAAGAAATGTTTATTTTTTTATAATACACACCTAAAATTTCTGTTATTTTGAGAATGCAGTGTCCCATAAAGGTATCAAAGATAATTAAAATTATATCTTTTGTATTAATTGTGCATCACTATATTATAAATATCCAAACCATGTATAAAACTTTACAATTATAAATTTAATTAACTGGAGCTATAAATCATTACATGTTATAAATAGTGGAGCAGTATGTATGTATTTAACATTTATTTTTGGCTAGAACTTTCTAATCTTCCCAAGATTGGCAAATGTGATTCTATCTCGAGGGAGAAATCTATAATGTTATTAAAACAGCATTTAAAAATGTTTTTTAAAGGAGAGTCATGATCAGCGAGTTTCATAAAGCACAGTTGTCGTATCTTAGACCCATTGGATGCATATGTACTTCCCAGCCATAACTCTGCTCTAGATTTCTGCTTCTGTCTGGTTGTCTCTTTCCTAATCTACGTTCTCACTTTTATTCACTCTCTTTCTGTTTTTTAGATATATGTTGGTTTGGCTTGGGCTTATTTTTTTTTTAGTTCTTCCACCTTTCCCTGTACTTGACAGTGAACAGGAGTACTTTATTTATTTAAATGTGTTGTTCATAAGCTCTGATGCATATTTAACATGGTCCTGTTTAGTACCTATTAATTACTGTTTTTCTCATTTTAAACAGCTTGCACTTTCCAGTGACAAGATTGCTACATTACAAACGCCACTCTTAAACCTCCATCTAGACGTAAAAGAAAATGGTGAAGTCAAACCATATTCTATCGAAATGAGCAAAGAAGAGCTGCAGAATCTAATAAATTCCTTGGAAGCAGCTAATAAGGTATTTGTTTTAATTTTGTTTTATGGTTTAAAATGTTTCAGTTTTGAATGATACCATTAGAGCCATGAAGAAAAACTCATAGTTTGCTTTTAATATTTTTCTTCCTGATATTTTATGTCAAGCACAGAAATTATGTTCTGTATCTTTTCAACATTAAATTAATTATAACTTGTAATTTTAATTACTTAGTTTTGAGCATAATTTGTCAAGTAGTTATTTTTAAAAGAAGAATAGTGCTGTTATAACGGCTAGATTTGTTTTGCTCCAGTGCACATTAATGATAAAAATTTTTTTTTTTATCTTGGGGCTAGGATGTTAGTTAATTCTGAAGAGTTTTTGTGATTAAAAATAGTATGATTTTGAAGAAAAGAGTGTCTTATTTAACTGAACAACTAATAGAAAATTGCTTTAACTACAGGAGACCAAATATGCCTTGTAGTTAGGGCAAAATCATGTTGAGACAAGATAGAATTAATAAATGACTAAAAGCTTTACATTTACAAAGGAATGGCTGAATAATAGTAACCATTCCTAATGTTCAATTAATGAGAAAAATATTTAAACGGTAGAAACCGCTGCTGTGAGGAAGAAATAAAAATAATTATCTTTGTTATGTATATTTCTTTCATTATTGCTCAGCATTTTCTCTAGTGATCGAGTCTCAGTTATTGAAGTCAGTTTTCTTACCAGTCTCTTGCCACTAACCAATCTTCTTGGCTCTGTCTTTTTTTAAACCCTGGTATACTTCAGCTTCCCTCCACACTCTGTAGTTACTCAGCCATTTTGGTGCCTCGTTGACTGGTCCACATGCCCAGTCACCAAACGTACTGGCTTGCCTTTGAACGAGACTAAATGTCTGATGGGGTGTGTGGTAGAACCTGGTGTAAAAGTGAAATGATTCTGAACCATGGATCCTGACAGGCATGTGCCATCGGTTACTGAGCAGTGCACTTGTTATAAATTCTTGAGGCACTTATAGAGATTACAAAGCATCTCATTTAGCAGATGTTGGCATCATTCTGGTGTAAACTGATTCTCCCCTCCCTCCTTTGTTTTTAAGGTCATCCGGCAGTTCAAATAACTGGAAATAATGAAGACCAACATTATCAGATTCCACTGCTGCAACTGATATGACAGAGCGAATACTGTGTGTTCAGAAAACCTGCAATATACTATTATGTCGAGCTCAGAAAGCAGCCGTGTTGAGATGGCAAAGATTAAAAATTTATCAACTTCCCTAAAGAACAGGAAATTACATGGTTGACAGGAAATGCATTAAAAAATTAAAGATAAAAATTAAAGATAAATATAGAAGCAGTTTATATTTTCATAATGTCTGTTTNAGGAAATTACATGGTTGACAGGAAATGCATTAAAAAATTAAAGATAAAAAGCTATAGAAGCAGTTTATATTTTCATAATGTCTGTTCGGCCTCATTTATTAAATATTTGAGAACTTTATTGATACAGAGTTTTACTGAAAACTAAAAATAGGCTCAAAAGTAATGTAAACATACAAAGCACAAATAAACTTGAATCTTGCTAAAAGAAGTATGTGACTAGCAAGGATGCATATTACGGATATATATGACTAATTTGTGATATTTTTTAAAAATAACTTTTAAAGAATGTATAAGCTATATATCTCAGGAGATTCCATATCTTACTCATATTTCAAAGGAAAGATTATAAAATGTAAAAATTCTTAGAGAAAGAACCTCTTCAGACATGAACAAGAAAAAAGTAAATCTGTGTGAACAATTTTGAGTTTATGAAGTCTAGAAACTAAAATCTTACATTAGAACATAGGAAAAATGCAACAACACTGCTACTCTTATATTTCTGGGTCTGGGAGAATAAGAGCTGATAAAAAGAATGTATGTCATTGTGTAGTGTATATATTTCTATTCAAATATCAGGTAAGATATATGTGTCCATTTTTGTTATAAACTCTTAATACTGAATTTAACAGTTTTGGATGTTTATTGGCAAACAAATTATTTTTAATTTCAGTTAAGTTTAAAGATAAGCCTTCTGAACAAATAAAAAATACAATTTTATTTTAACATATTGCTTTATTTCAAGTGACTTTCTACATAATGCAATAATACATAATTAATTGGAACCTGCTGTTTGCAAGCTTTATAGATCATTAGAGTATGAGACTATTTGAGGTGTCCGGAGCAATTATTACTGTTCTTGTCATACAGATGAGGGTAGGCTTAGGTTCATGCATACTGGAGTGTGACCTAGATGGTGCTCTCAAAATGTATCTTAGACTCATGCCAGTCTATGAACTGCTTATTATAGGTCAGTGATAGATGAGGAGCTGCTACCAGAATGTTCATCAATATGCTGCTTTCTTCACTGGGAAATTTTGGTTATGGAAAAAAGTATACCAGCTGAACTAAACAGTGTGCTTAGAGAGGTAGTTGATTTATCTTCCTGTGCAAGTTTCTTACCATTATGGACCAGTAACAGCACTAATAATGCTGTCATAGGGCCCTTCTGAATTTCAGCCCTCCAAACAGTACTTCCTCTCAGAAGGAAAAAATCTTACTCTACTTTGTTCCCTCTCACCACATTGTCACTGCATTAGCATATTGGAATGCTTTATTGAAGTCTGATACACTATAAACTGCACATGTTTAAAGTTTACAGTCTGACAAGTTTTGATATATGTACGCCCAGAAAAGCATCACCTCAATCGAGGTGGGGAGCATTAATCCTGAAAGTGTCCTGCTGTTCCTTTGTAACCCCTGCTTCTGCGCCTTTCCCCCAACCCAGATGGCCCCTGATCTGCTTCCTGCCATGAAAGTCTGATTTGTTCACATTTTCTAGGGTTTAATGTAAATGGAATCATGCAGGATGTACGCACACGCGTGTGTGTGTGTGAGAGCGAGCGAGCGAGTTAGCACCGGCTCCTTTCAGCATTATTTTGAGTTCATGTTGCATATAGCAATAGTTCATTATTGTTGACAAGTGTTCTGTTGTAGAATTTTACCATGATTTGTTTATTCACTTACTAATGGACATTTTGGTTGTTTAAAATTTTTGACTAGTACAATACAATGAATGCTATGAAATTCTTGTATATGTCTTTATATGGACATTAAACTTTCCTGTGAATAAATAGGAGTGAAAAGGCTGGATCATATGGTAGGTTTATGTTTATCTTTTCAAGAAGTTGCCAAACTGCTTTCCAAAGTGATTTTACCATTTTACCTTCCATACCACAGTCTATGCGAGTTCCTCCTCCACTTCCTCACCAACACTTGGTAGGGGCAGTCTCTTTAGTTTCAGCTATTCTAATAGGTGGATAGTGGTGTATCATTGTGGTTTTAATAGAACTAATGATACTGTCTTTTCATGTGCTTGTTTGCCATCTGCATATCTGCTTAGATCTGTTGCCCATTTTTAAATTGGACTGTTTTCTTACTGAGTTTTGGATGTTCTTTATATAGCCTGGCTTTAGTCTTTATCATATATATGTCTTGCAGGTATTTTTCCCCAATCTGTAACTTGTCCTTTTCTTTCTATAAAGAAACTTTATTTTTTTTAGAGTAGTTTTGAGATCCTGTCTACCGCACATGCATTTCCCCAGACTATTAATGTCTTATATTAATAATATCTAATATTAATTTATTATAATTAATGACTTAATATATTACTTTAAATTAAATTCCATAGTTTATTCAGCCTTCCTAAATTTTTACCTAGTGTCCTTTATCTGTTCCAGAATTCATATTATATTTAGTTGTCATGTCTCCTTAAGCTTCTCTTGCTGTGATTTTTTCCCCCCCATACTTTCCTTGTTTTTAATAATGTCAGTTTTGAGGAGTGTGGGTGAGATATTTTTTAGAATGTTCCTCTACTGGAATTTAATGTTTTTCTCATGTTTAGACGGGGGTTATTATGGGTTTTGGGGAGGAATATTACAGAGGTAAAGTGCCATTCACATCACATCCTGTCAAGGGTGCATGCAATTAACAGGATTTATGATGACGTTCGCTTTGATCACCTGGCTGAGGTAGTGCTTGATAAGTTTTTTCCCTGTAAAGTTGCTCTTATTTCTCCTTTTTCTATACTGTACTCTTTGGAAGGAAGCCACTCTGTGTAGCCTATACTGTTCTTAAGGAGTGGGGAGTTCTCAAGTTCAGAGTATATATCTGGAATTCTGCACAGATTTGTCTCATCTCTCCTAGTTATTAATGTATTCATTTATTTATATAGTGTGGACTCATGGATATTTATTTTACACTTTGGGTTATAATCCAATACTCATTACTCAAAATTATTTTAGCTTTGGCCATTGGGAACTCCCTCAGTTGGTTCCTTTGTCCCTTTGTTATCAGTGGAGTGTGGGTTTTATTTATCTATTTTTATATTATTTTATTAACTTTCTGGCCATACAAAGATGCTCCAGGCTCATGTTGTCTGTTTCCTGTGCAGTCCTAGAATCAGCCATTTCTCCAAGAAGCCCTGGTTCGTTTTACTGAAGAATGGTACTAGAAACCAAGCTAGGTGTGCTCATTGCTGCTGGGAAGTTGTTTCTTTTAGACCCTCTCAGCTGACAAAACAAGTAAATATATGTGTGTAAACTAACCTGCGTGTATACACATTTATAAATAGTTACATAACCATATGTATATTAAGCTGCACCAGTTCATCCTGATGTCTCCAACCTGAGTCCATTACCACATGGGCCATTCTAGTCTGCTCCCCTTNATATGTATATTAAGCTGCACCAGTTCATCCTGATGTCTCCAACCTGAGTCTATTACCACATGGGCCATTCTAGTCTGCTCCCCTTAGCAGTGAGGGGCCTGACCCCACCAGCCACCACCCATTCGCGCAGTAGTCCCATCCCAGTATATCTACACAGAATCTCAATTGTTCGTCTGTCCCCTGTGGGAAACAACTTGACCTAGGAAGGACTTCAGTGCATTTCCTTTTCCCTTAAGTTTTACAGACCACAGTCATTTTCAAAGTTACTTAGGTCAGTACCTTTTCCCTCCGCTCAGTGAGGTCGTTTTACATATTTGTAATACAGTTAGATTTTATTTACTTTTTTACCATCATCTGTATTCCTTCCTGGGATCCCTTGACTTCCTAAATGAATTTTTTAATTTGTGTACATTAAGCTTCATTCTTTGTGTCAGTGCTGAGTTTTGACAAATGCCTAACAACAAGTATCCACTGTAGAGAATAGTTCAGTGCCCTAAAAATAATATTCCATTGTATGTACATACATTTTCTTTTTCCATTAAGCCATCAATGGACATTTAAGTTGTTTCCACTTCTTGGCCATTGTGACTAACGCTGTAAGGAGCACAGGAGTGCAAATACCTGTTCACGATCCCGTTTCAAATTCTTTTGGCTAAATACCTGGAAGTGGGACTGCCGAACCATATGGTAGTTTTATTTTTACCTTTTCAAGGAACCTCCATACTGTCTTCCGTAGTGACTACACCCTTTTACATTCCTACCAACAGTGCGCAAGGGGTCCAATTTCCCACCAGCCTTGGCTGATACTAGCAGAAGGTAGGTGCGCTAGCTTCTTATTACCTACAATCCTTATAGCAAATCCTAAACATGCTACAAATATATTTGTTCTTTTTCTAATTTAAATAAAACTGATGGCCACTCATTTCTTCCGCTGTATAACTGTCTTCTGGAAACAGTAGCCAGTGTAGGATGTCTCTAAACCCCCCAGTAACACTGCAGGCCAAGGACCTGCTGATAAAGGGCTGATTTCCCATTATTTGGCTGGATGGACGTTAGTCCTCCCTACTCCAGAATTTAGACTCTTACTAACCACCAATTAGTGGCTAAATAAGCCCCACACCTTTAACCTGTTAATTATTTTATTGTCAACATGTTTCTGAAGGGAGAGAATGAGTTTGGAAGTTTTCAAATTAGGAAAGAATAACAAATAGGCCAACTCTAATATTCATATTTACAGTGAAGATTTTAAAAGAAATTTGACATAACGCACCTCACAAATGGGTGCTATTAAAGTCCGCTTTAGGCATCATTTTGGAATACAAGAGGACTTCAGTTTTTTCCCTAATATATAAAGTTTCCATTTGTTCAAATGTTCATAAGGTGTGTTATCTTAAGTAATATAATTTTTTTTAAGTCAGTGGTACAGAATTATTTTTACTCCTAGAAAAGTAATAGTGTTTTCCCCCAGTTTAATAAAACTGCAAAGAATTTCTTCCAAGAAAAAAAAAAGATTTTGCTTTGTATTAAATTTTACCATAAAAGCTCTCAAATGATTCAGGATTTTAAACATTTTAAAGGTTATAAAAAGATACGTGCGAAACCT